GCGCACAGAAGCGGAAGTTTGAACCTAGAAATCAGCAATTCATCTTGCTAGCGATAACCGTACCTTAGAAAGGGAGATGAGGAAACAGAACGCAGAACTGCGGCGGTACCGTCGGTTAAGCCGCCGCGGGTCGAATTTCTATAGCAACCTCTCGTCGCTCCGCGTCCCGGCGGGGGGTTATCTATTGTCAGTGAGACAGATGACGGAGCTAGTGTAGATACGTCTCGTTCGCTAGATGACATCCTTTCTGACTCCGAGGATGACGACTGCTCTTTATCTGAAGATGAAGCATCGAGCCCTAATGGTGACGTGGAGAACCAACGCCACTGCGGTCGAGACGAAAAGCACTTGCTTAACAACCTCGCAAAACATCGACAGCTCCTTGTTGACAGCCAAAAGCTGAATCAAAGCATCACACGGTGTCTTGGATGGACGGAGAGTCTGATTACGGAAGGGAAAAGGGCATTGGAGTATCAAGTGCGCGTTAATGATATCGAGATCGGCGGGCGAGTGCTTGCCCCCGATGACACTGACGATCATTGGGAGTCCGGCAAGGGTCTGCTGAGTCCAAGTACGGAGATACCCAGATTTTCGGAAGATTATTGTGTTCTGGACGACGCTGTTTTGGCTAGCTTGCCGCTGTCGGACGATGATGAATACTCGGAGGCTAACTATAGTGAGTGATGAGGGCGGGCTAAACTGTTCACACTGGTTACGAGCACCTTTGATGACTTGAAGCCTGCCTTTTATCGTGCGCAAAATCTCTTTTTCGTAAGGAGACAACGCTTGCCTACTTCCCTATTCGTGGATATCTTACATTGGTCGGTGACATGGCGCATGCATGGGAGAGCATTTCATTTCCTTTGTTCACATCTAATACCATTCAAGCCTTCGGCGTCAAGGTCTATGGCTTTTCTTCCTTTGGTTTATGGGTCGGCAAGCGTTTCATTATTTTTTGGGATCGGGTTACGGAGCCATGAGCACAAAACATCGCTATAAGATTTCGCTGTTCACTATGCTTTACGCCCCACTCTTTGATATCGGGCAACCGCGTCCCATTACAGTCTCATTTAGAGCCACCGTTACCTGTTATTTCTACCCGTATGTTAGTATGTCGCAGCCCAAGATACCCAAGTATGCATATCTTTTCCTTTTTTGATACTTTCAAGTAGTATGTACGATCGACGTTAAGATGGGGATGAAAACAAGCTCCTTTGTTTTCATTGAAGACACAATCTTCTCTCCTTGTTTTAATGGTTTCTATCGTTATTTCATTTTGGAGGTTTGAGATACACTTTCTCAAGACGCTGAGAGGAGCTGTGGTCTAGGATAAGAATCCAGAACCCAAGATGTAAAGACATCTTGCTGGTCGATTATGCATTTTCAGGAATACAATGTCAAAAAACATCAAAGCGAGCCAAATCATTACCTCTATAGTGGGATATGCATAGATCGGTTATATCGCAGACAAAAGAAATTTGGAAAACGCTGGTCGAAATTTGGGATATCATTGCCCTTCCCTACGATGGATTCACTTCGGTCGCTTCGGACTTCCCCTTCTTGGTTTCTTTCTTCTTTTCCTTCTTCGACATGCCTTCTGCCATTAATTGTTCGAATGCCATGTAGTCACCCTCTTCGTCGGGGTCACGCTCAGCCTAGAAGGGTATTCGCATTAGTATGACGGTCAAATGGGGCCAGCACCTAGCAAGCAACACCAAACCTTGACATACCTGCTGAAAGATTTTCCCGCAAATAACGAGGGCGTGAGCACGCTCAATTCGTTTCTCCAGCTTCACGCCCTTGTCGTTCAATATTTGCTCGCAAACATCGCGGAGGACACTTTGGATCTCAAATTTGCTGCCACGCCAGGCTGCTGCCAATATCTTGCCTGTGACTTTCTTCTCGTATTCTGCCCTCTTCTCATCAGTCCAGTCTTCACCTCCTTTCTCCTCCAGTTTAGCCATTTCTTCCATGGTCATCTGTGCGTCGAGGGCGGTGGATATGGTTGTCCATGTTTCTTTCGCCAGGGTGCCTTTGTCCTTTAGTCGTGAGAAGAAGCCCGAAATACCCAGGAACTTTTGCGATTTCAGGAAGGAAGTGGCTTTTTGGATATAGGTTGTGCCGATGGCGTGGAGGATTTCCAAGCCAAACGACTCCATTTTGAGATTTTCGACTTCTAGCCGCGTCTTTTCCTGAAACGCAATCGTAACATCCGAGCCCTTGTCTGTTTCCGTCCATATACTCAAACGGTCTACCAATTTTCTTGCGAGGGTGTCCACACGCTCTTCTCTTTGCTTTTTCCTCTCAGCCTCAAACGCCGCCAACCGTTCTCTCTGTTCCTTTGTAAGACCACCCTTTTTCTTCTCTTTCTTTCGGAGTTCTTTCTCTTCCGGAGTTAGACCGGCAGCATCCATCCTGGCATCTTCTTCAGACTTATCCATGATGGCCTGTTGGCCCCAAACGCGTCGAGGAGTGCTGGTACCCGACCCGGTTTCCGTTTGCCTTCCTGAAGCTGCAGGGGAAATGGCTTCCTTTCCCTTGTCATCGGACGAAACATATGGGGGCGGTGGGGGGGTGGTGCTGGATCCTTCTGACGGTTGCGCGTGTGCAGCCTTTTCTTTCTCTTCATTTATCTTTAATTTCTCTTCTGCTGAAGAAACTAACTCGTCTTCTTCCATCTCCTCCATTGTAATATCCATTGTACGCGTTAAATCCTTCATAAGTGATATTTCCCCTATCAAATCGACGAAGGCATCGCCTCCAAAAATCATGCTGAAGAATTCGGCCGGGTCCTCTGTCATATCAGATTAGCCAATACATCACGCGTAGTAAATAGCGGGCAGCATGATCGTACCGAATCCACCCCCGGGTATCGCCTGCTCCTTTCCGAATTTATCATATTGTTTCCGCAAATCTTCATTGCTCAGCACTTGGTACGCTTCGCCGATCTAGGTATTTACAGGATTGTAAGTCAGAGGATCAACAAAGTATAGGATGCAACGACATAGGGGCGATTTACCGCTTGGAATCTCTCGTGAGCAGTCTCGTCACCGGGGTTCTTGTCTACCATTGCTGTTAGTTACCAAACCCGACAAAAAACCAGGATGAATCAACAAACCTGGGTGAGTTGTGATGGCCAATTTCCGGTAGGCCTTTTTGATTTCAAGCTCAGTGGCCGTGGGCGGCACCCCCAAAGTATCGTAATATGCAGTATCTGCGACCATGATCGCGTTGCTGAGCGTGGGGTGCGGGCAGTATGGAGAAAAGAGACGACGGTGTTATCTACCAGCTTAAATGGCGTAAACACAAAAGGCTAAAGAGGAATATACAAAGGGCAAATCAACGGATGGAGAAGAGCAAACTGTTTTGTGACAACAATCGCTTTGAAGATGCTGGCAGCCACGCCGTCGTCATATGCTCGGCCCAGGTGCTCGAAATTTCCTATTCCGCCAGCGGCCGTGATTGGTCGCCTGTTCATTATGTAAGCTAGAGGCGGGGCAGCCGACCGTGTCCCAATTAGGCAGGCGGCAGACGGCAGTTTAGCCCCAAAGGCTACTGCGCCACAGTCAGGGGCCTATCAAAGTGTGGCGTCGCCAGACATGCAGTTGGGTTAGACCACCATTCATCGCCGAGAACCAACGCAGTGTAGCTGTCCTGTTCTCTTTAGCAGATTTGATCATAGACAGCAGCCCCGGGGGTTGGGAAACGCGAGCTCTTTCTATCATTCCTTGACCTAACCTTCCAACACGCGGAGTATGACGCTCAGGGATTGGTTTCGCAGCAAGGGGCACCGTGAGTCGGTCGCCCAGAGTGTCGTTGAAGATGGGGCGGCGGATAGCCCTTTCTTCCGGCGTCTGCCTCCTGAATTACGCGACAACATCTACACCCTGGCATTTGGAGGCACAGTACAATGGGTGTCGCGAAGGTTTGGAAGCCCAGAACAGCAGGCTCAGGATCGTCGTCACGGGATTGATTCTAAGCGTATGCGCAATCGGGTTTTATTGAGTCGGCTTCGCCGTCAGAAGCCAGCAAAGGCGCAGTGGAATCGCCATGGTAAGTTTGCTAGATACCTTTGGTCCACGTCTCCCATTCGTTCAGGCCAGTGCACTGAGTGACTTATAGGTGCGTTGGGATGGCTATTAGCGTGTCGACAAGCGTAAGTCTGACGATTTCATTCGGGTTATCGCCGTCCTGTCTCAAAAGAATGTTGCGGCGGCTTAGGAAGGCGGTGCCAGAGACGAGCGTTCTTGATTGGTAATATCTACCCGGCGCTTTTGGCGCGAGAGGCGGCGAGAAGCGGCGAGAAGCGTTCCGTTGAGCTCAGCCCATGACCAGATATTAATCACTTTTATATCTAGTCATGACGAAGCCATTAACGTGGTTTATTCAAATCAAATTTCCATTAAGCGGCCGGATTCCTTTTTCCTTATGTGCCAAGTGATCCGTCCCCAACACCTGGCTGCGATCAAAGCCCTTGACCTACTATGGGGGTTTATTTATCAACGCTCAGATGTATTAACCTTGCACAAGTTTCTGTCGACATTGGCCCGCTCCTGCCCTCAATTGAATAGGCTCCTTCTGTGGGTCATGTGTACAGGTTTTCAACTCGACGATGGGGATATCCTCATCCCTATGGACAAAATGATAAGAGAGCTTGGACGCAAGATGAACAATTGCACACTCACCGTCGACGGTTGGACCCACCATCGGCTGTTATTGCGAGCCGAGGCGGAGGGAGCCCTTGTGCAGGATGCCGGTATTGAGTCACCAGGGTGTACAGCCTATGGCTGCAGGTTCTGGTGGGCTGTTGCCGATGCTACAGGGAGCCAGGAGTGCGACCTGGGGTATTGGATTTGTTCACATGGCGATCCGTCTATGTTAGTTTGTGGCTTCTGATCGCGGTTTGGGTTTTGATAGAGCGCCGAGTCGGTTAACCACGATAAAATACAGTGTAATACAGGCAAACACGCCAAGACAGCCAATACACGACTGCAGCCAATCACCGCCTGGCCAGTGATCCGCCCGTTCCTGGACGCGGACACACTAGTACCAATTGAGCTGCTCGCCCATTTTTCCTGCTGCTTCGCTTCTTCGCTTCTTCTTCTTCTTCCTTCTCCTCCCCCAGACCTCCGCTTCTCCCGTCCCTCTGCCTTCTTCACAGACATTCTCATAATCTCTCTTCCATTCTCCATTTGTAGTTACCACTGGAATTGCTCCTATTCTCATGGTTCTTGGTTGCCTTCCGTCTAATCTTCAAGCCAGGTCGTCTGGCTGATTCTCTGCTTGAGCTTGCCCAGCTCCAAAAATCCGACAATCTTCTAACCCAGCATCAAAGCCTTGCTAGCCAAGATGGTTTCCCTTTCACAAGCCCTTTATCTTCTTGCCCACCCCCAAGAGTTAAGAGCAATCATCCAATGGTACCTGTTCCGAAATTCTTCATGTCAATCCTCCTTGGTGCACACTGACTCCTTATAGGAAAGTATGGCATGAGCCTGTTCACACCAAAAACTCACAAGATGAAACAGAGAGTGAAAAGAAATGTTATCACTTTCTCAAGCTTACCAGCCGCAGCTTCAGCGCGGTCATTATGGAGCTACACCCAGAGCTCTTACTCCCCGTCTGCTTATTCTACCTTATCCTCCGTGGCCTAGACACCATCGAAGATGATACCTCTATACCTTTGAAAGTTAAGGAGCCGCTGCTCCGAAATTTCAAAGACTATCTAGAGGTTGACGGGTGGACCTTTGATGGCAACCGTCCAGAAGAAAAGGACCGTGAACTGCTGGTTCAGTTCCACAACGTCATCACTGAATTTAAGAAAATAAAGCCCGCCTACAAAACCATTATCAAAGACATCACTGATCGAATGGGCAATGGCATGGCTGACTACTGTCGAAAAGCCGAGTACGAGAATGTAAACGTCAATACAGTGGAAGAGTACGACTTATACTGCTGGTATGTCGCCGGGCCTTGTGGGTGAGGGTCTAACAAGATTGTTCGTCGAGGCTGGATTCGCTCGGCCCCAACTTCTTGAACGCCCTCAACTATTCAAGTCAATGGGCCTATTTCTCCAAAAGACTAACATCATTCGTGATGTACGAGAGGATGAAGACGATAACCGTCGCTTCTGGCCAAAGGAGATTTGGTCGAAGCACGTCGACAACTGGGAGGATCTTTTTAAGCCAGAAAACCGCGATGCAGCCTTGAACTGTAGTGCAGAAATGGTGATGAATGCCCTTGGCCATGCGGAAGACTGCCTTTTCTACCTAGCTGGCTTAACCGAGCAGAGTGTGTTTAACTTTGCTGCCATTCCTCAGAGTATGGCTATTGCTACCCTAGAGCTATGTTTCCGAAATCCAGCCATGTTCGACCGCAACATCAAAATCACAAAAGGCCATGCTTGCCAGTTAATGTGGCAGTCAACTCAGAATGTCCGAGTCATTTGCGATGTCTTCCGTCTATATGCTCGAAGAATACACAAGAAAAACTCGCCAAAGGACCCCAATTTCCTAAAGATTAGCATGACATGTGGAAAGGTCATTCCCTCTATCTCTCTGGTTGTCTTCCCCTTGGTTATGATATTAATTCCAATGCAGATTGAAAAGTTCATCGAATCGATCTTCCCAACGCAAACCGTTGAAGAAGCCAACCGAAGAGTAAACAATGAGAAGAGCGCCGAAGACGCCAAGAGAGCCGCCGAGTCCGCCGAAGCCACGCGGGATGTCATTTTCATTCTTGTCTCACTTTTCGGCATCCTCATCGTTGTCTCCTCGATTATGGTACGTCCTAGGTCCATGCATGTGTACCACCACAAATGGTATCCGCTAACGTGCGTGCAGTTTGGTGCTGCCTGGATGATGGGTGCACGGTTTGACTTGGCCTTCCAGGAACTCAAGAAAGGAAATTTTCGCCCCCCACGATCCTTGACGCATGGGGAGCTGTAGCTTTTATTTCTCTCCTTTGCTCAAGATGTTGATGCGTCTTGAGAAGGTATAATATTTTTCAATCTTGAACGCCACTTTTCCGGCAAATGTTACGGTATTAATTTTTAATTACCCTCCTGCCCCAAATGCTTGTTCAATTCTTGCACAGTTACTGCTAGAAAGACGATTTTGATGCTCCGTGCTATCTCCAATTCTGCACGATATTACTTGATTACATGTTTTTCCCAGCTAGCACTGATGTCAAATTGCAATCCGGTCTTCTCTCAATGGCTGTGGTTGTGCCGAAGATGTGCTGAGAGCGAACTGCTGTTGCATATGATGTGATGGCGGCACCGGACGTACTGGATACTCGTCCCACTGCAGCCGGGTATTCCGACTGCAGAATGGCGTGTATCTATTGAAGATCTGGAAACATGTTGTGTTTTGACTTCCCTGTCGATGGGTGGGATCGAGATTAGGCATCCAATAGCCGATGATACCTTGCATACAACCATAGTTAGGCGAACATCAGACCCGATCGTTGATTTAGAAGTAAAACTTGTTTCCTCTGTAAATTTTATTCTTTCTAGTAATGCTCACAGCGTAAAAACGATCATCTTCCCCAGTTGGGAGGTCGAGTCCGGTCGCGACCAAAAGGATCAGCCGTGTTTCAGGCCTCGTTTCCCGGCCGGAAGTGGGCGATCCCTGCCGACAAGAAGCCAAACGGCCAGGGGCCCGTTGGCTCGACCCGCGCCTGTGCACCACGGAGACTTGTGTGCGAGCGGGCTCACCAGCAGTTGGTGCGTTTTAGCGGGCTTGCGAGAAGGGGCTTCTGGCGGTTGGGACGCCCGCTAGCCCAAAGTCAGGAAAGCTCCGATCAGCCCAACTCCGGGCGACGAAAGTCAGATTCACCCGCCGGCCCTGCACCCTCGTCCACGCTCTCTGCATTCTATTACGACGTCTAGTATTTCCCATAGCTATCCTCTGGACTCAAAGTCGACCGTCGAGAACGCTGTATCCGCATGAGTGAGGCTCCTGTCTCGCAGCCGGCGCCGCCTCCCTCCACTGCTCCCGCCGCTGCTGCCGTGCCCAATGGTCCGACGACGACCGCGAATAGCAAGGCTGGCGACAGTCCGCCACGCCTCCGCGCAGCCTCAGCATGTGTTGCGTGCAATAAGAAAAAGGTACGTTGTCGCTGAGTGAACCTTAAGGAAACAAATAAAGAACCCGCGCCTGGAGGGGCTTTGTTGCTGACTTCGGATAGATACGGTGCATATATCCCGAAGGGAGTTCCCAGTGCCTAAACTGTGCGAGGAACCATTGGACTTGCTCGTGGGTGTCTTCTACCTTATTACACTGCCTAGTTTACGTGCCTGTTTGGACAAAACGCTGACTCTCAACTTCCCATTCTTCGTAGTCCCCGCGAGCGGAAACGCAAACGTCGAAAAATCGCCGTGGACCGCGAAGACAGTGACCCGGTGACAAATGCACCCAGAAAGGTGGAAATAAGCCACGATGGTGCTGCTCTTGGGCCTCCCCGTCGGCCAAACTGGGACTCAGGATTACTACATTGGGAGCACCGTCGCTCGATTGTCGCAGACGGGCACCCGTCGGTTCCCTCGGAGTCGTCAGTTGGCGCTGGGACTTCGGCTCAAAATCACACTCCTCCAGCGTCTGCGATCCACGAATCCGACGGATCAGCTTTATATCCCAATACGGGTCCGCCAGGATTTGCTAGACCGCCGCAGCCGTCGCAAGATTCGCGTCCTTATGGGCCAAGTACTCCGAACTCGACCTTCTTAGGCCGCTCCGAGTACATCCGCGGCGAAATCCCTTTCAACGAGGATCGGGCAAAAGCGTATCCTGCCGTCGCTACAGAGTCTCTTACCGAAGAAGATCTGAGCATTCTCCACCTACAGCATGCGTTTGACCTCCCACCCCGTGCTGTTCGAGAGGGACTCATCGACACGTTCATGAAGCGCTGTTCGCCGTGGATGCCCATTGTAGAAAGGAGCTGGCTCACAGAGCGAAATGGGCACCATCCATCTATCTTGCTACTTCAAGCTGTTTTCCTCGCCGCAAGTAGAGTCTCCTCTGCACCTGCTGTAACTGCTTATGCTTCGTCGAATGACTTTTACCGACGGGCACGAGCGCTATTCTGGGCCGGTTACGAGAAAAATACCATCACTGTTATTACTGCAGTGTGCATCTTGCATTGGTATAATCCCGAAGGACCGGAACACGTATCTATTAATACGAGCGGGTTCTGGAATCGGATTGGTGTTGGCCTCGCCTATCAGATTGGGCTGCACAGAGAACCTCCCCCTGGCCGGGATGGGCCACTTCGAAGGAGGTTATGGTGGACGTTATATGTGAGCATCGCTTTACGTAAATTTATTCATTGCCGTCAATAGCTAATATTTGCCTACAGGCTCGAGATTGTCTGATCTCCGCAGGGCATGGACGTCCCCGCGCTATTAACCCAGATGACAGCGAAGTCAAGCCTTTATCACCGGAGGACTTTTATGGCAGCAGTTCAAACGGTCAGCTTTTCATTGCATATGTGGAAATCTCAGCTCTTTTAGGGGGGCTCACACAATGCTGTCTCCGCCGTAGCCTATTGCGGCAAAAGCGAGTATCTATAGAGAATGCTCTCTACCGATGGACTCGAGAACTGCCAGAGGGCCTTCGTCTGTTTCGAAGACACAGTCCAACGGAGGCTGCTCCCGCGCATCGGCTTGTATTAATGCCTTACAATTTCGAGGCGCGCCAGTTGCACGTCCCGTATTTCATTACTCTTGCAATTCTCTACCGACCAACGTCGCCGTCAAATCTCCCATCGGCGGCCGTGATTCTTGCGTCGTCTTTTATTGCCGGTATCTTTGAAGACTTTTTGGCACGAGATGAGATTCGCTTCTTGGGCCCAATCTTCACTTTCTATCTTTTGGCGGCTGGGGTAGGACTTTTGTCGTGTTTCCCGTATGCACACTTATGGGAACGAGCGGAACAGGACTTTCGCATCATTTATAATTCCCAAAAGGAGCTAGCAAAGCGGTGGCCCTCGGCAATCGGGAGTCTGAAAGCTATGCAGAGCATGCTTGATGACGCGCCTAAGGTGTTTAGGCCGGTAGATCGACCACAGCCAACACCGTTGACGCCGGACCAGCAGGCATGTTTCAGTGGATTCGGAACGGATCTTTGTCGCCTTGGCGATGTCATGTTGGCTAATTATCCTCATGAAGTGGGCGAATCTGGTCGGCCGGAAGATGACCAGTATGCCAGGACAGTGTCAGACATGATGACAGCGGGTATTCTGGCAGAATTGAAGACCCCGATGGACACTGCTGCTGTGCTGGATGAATATCTTCCGCTGGCAACTGTGGTCGATCAAAACACCCACGCAGTGATGGGGGGAGATGCTGCCGAAGTGACGGAAGACATGTACAATCAATACGAAGGCATTGGGAACTGGCTTCTCAGGGAATGGGACTGGAACAATGACATCGCATGGTGAGCGAAGCGCAGTTCGGCTTCATCCGCCCAGAATTCCCGCCCGGAACGCACGGTCCAGCTCGGCCTGAATGACTAATCACCCAGGCTCCGATCACGTGGACCATCGGCACTTCCGTTCCCCGGTTGTTCGGCTGTTCCGCGGTGTTCGGCCCGTGGCTGATATTCACGGATCAAAGCGACACGAAGAAGGCCAAAGTCGCGCCGAGAGACCGGGGGCATATGCGGGGGGGAAGCCACTGTGTTGACATTCGTCTTCTGATTGCATTTACTAGCATGAACTGACCGCTCCTGAAGAATTGAGTATTCATCCTTTTGATTCTTGCTTTGCTCTTTCAAACCCCAACAATGGCGGATATTCCCCGGTTTCGAAATCTTACTCTCACCCGCCATGGCAATGTCTTTGTCATTACGATGCAAAAGCCGCCAGAAAACAGGCTGAACTCCTGGTACTGCCAAGAAATCATCAGAGCGTTCCGCACGGTCGAGCGAATCTTGGGACCAGACTCCGAAGGAGCGGTGATTACAAGAGGGAACGATGCCAAATTCTGGTGTACAGTATGCTCGTCTTCTCGTCTACTGTGGCTCACGCACTCATTGGCCTCTGTCGCTGCTCAGGGTCTCGAATTAGATGAAGGGGATGACAATCCTTTTGCAAACAGCGATGGCTTCTATCCTGTACGTCTCGTATCCATCCAGCAAGCGGATCTAAATCACTGCCCGGTCAGCTCATGATTTCAAAAAGATGCTTCACACGATCCTCGATTTTCCATATCCCACCGTCGCCCTTCTGACCGGCCACGCCTTCGGCGGTGCCTGCCCTTTCGCCCTTTCCCATGACTACCGCATCATGAATTCCAAACGCGGGTTTATCTCCATGCCACCCGTTAATCTAGGTCTACATTTTGACGGTATCGGTGCCCTGCCGCGTCTCAAGCTAGGTCCGCGAGTTGCACGGAAGATGCTTCTCGAAGCGCACAGATGGACGGGCAGGGAGGCGTTGGAAGATGGGATTGTGGATGCGATCGCGGAGCCGGACAAGATGTTCGATGTAGCCATGGAGCTGGCGCAGAAGTGGGCGCCAAAGGCGAAGATGGGGTGAGTGACCGTAGTCGTTCTGTCGGGTGAGAATGGCTTGACCGTGAGTGCTGACTATCCTGGTAGGGTGTATGGTGTTTTGCGGGCTGAGCTGTGGGGAGAGGCGATTAAGAAGTTTCAGCGGATAAGCTATGTGCATAGTCGAGAGACGAGCAGAGCAGCAAAGGTCAAGCTGTAATCGGGTATGAAGTCGTATATGTATACAAATTAGCAGCACTGAGCCTTTGAGAGAACATGATGCATTCAGCCGTCAAAGTGGCAATGTTAATCTGATGGTAGCGCGAGTTGGAGATCAATCTTTTGAGATTCACATGTCTACTCTGATATTAAGTGTGCAATGCGAACGTTATACTGGAAACCAAGCCCGGCTATGAAGTTGGACGGTGTGCGCATCGAAATGAAGACTCTTCGTGATTTTCAACATCTTCAATTACAACTTTGCCTGAACCTGTATATCTTTCCTCTCCCAAACCTGAACCATCGCATCATTTCTATAATCCGCCGGGAAAAACTTTGGCCCCAATATCTTCTTGACTACCTTTCCCGTCGCACTCTTTGGCAGTTCTTTCTCGATAACCCTCAGTATTGTCGGCAGTTTATACCCTGCCAGTCTGCTTCTCAAATCTTCCCGCAAGTCATAAACGCTCAATTCTTTACCAACGCCACCATTGCCCGTACACCGATAGATCTTCTGGTCGTCCCGCAACACCACTGCGGCGGCGATGCGTTGGCCGTATTCAACGTCATCCACGCCGACGACCATCACCTCATCGATGTACGGAAGGGAGAGAATTTCTCGCTCCACGTCCAGGGCCGAAATTTTATACCCCCCTGTTTTGATCATATCGATAGATGACCGGCCCAGGATGAAGTAGTTTCGTCCCTCTCGACGAGCGATATCGCCTGTTTTGAAGAACCCTTCCGCATCATGTGCGGCGGCCGTGGCGGATGGATCGTGGAGGTATTTCGCAAACATCCAGGGACTTTTCACGAGGATTTCACCTTCGTCGCCGTTGGAAAGCTTCACGGTCACGCCGGGAGCCAGATGGCCAACGCTCCCTGTAGGCACGTCCTCGCAATCGAGTGGTGTTCTGAAAATGGCGCCTGCCTCTGTCGACCCGTATCTGGTCAGGATACGACGCTTCGTTCCTCCTAGTATCCCGCTCCAAAACTCCTGCACGGGCTCCGGCAGCGCAGACGTGCCGCAGAGTAGGACTCTAAGTCGCCTCGCGCCGTCGATGTAAGGCTTTCTCTCGTGCTCCGGTAAAAACGCCAGTTTCTGCTCGTAGTATCGCATCATGCGCATGTATATCGTGGGAACTCCAGAGAAGACGCTCACGCCCCCTTGTTTCCATCGGTTCCAGAGCCAGGCGATATCCACGCTGCCACTGCGGAACTCGACGCACGCACCGGAGAAGATATAAGGGAGGAAATTGATCCCAACGCCTGTGGCGTGATGGACTGGCAGTACATGCAGAACCACATCGGATTCGGTGACCTTGAACTGCTGGCCGATTTCCTCAGAGGTGTCATGCAAGAAGGCACGCCGCATCACTGCACCTTTCGGTGGGCCCGTAGTGCCAGAGGTAAAGATCACAACTGCAGGGCCGTTGTCATCGAGATATCGGTCCGTGGAAAGACGGATTTTGTCAGGCGGTAACGGAGAGGATTGAAGGGATGTCGAGATGGGGATGCAGCGGATATCGGTTCCCTTATTAGTTCTGAGGTATTGGCTCAGGGAGTCGCCTAGATTTTGGCCAGCGGTCGAAGCAAGCACCGCGACGCAGCGGGCCTTGAGCACAAAGTACGATGCCTCCCGGATGGGGAGAACGAGGGCTATTTTTGGGTTACCACTTGTTCCCGTACGTGTTTGGCAGTGGGTATATAAACTCACTCATCGGCACAACTGCTGCACCCAATGCTGCGATGGCCACGAATCCAACCGCATATTCATACCCTCCCGCTGCCAGCAACCCAACATACACCTCCTTGCCTTCCTTTATATCCTTCACCGTCTTCGCCCCCAGGCAGTTTCGCAGCGTACTTCTCAATGCGAGGACATCAGTCACAAACTGGAGATAGGTCTTCTCCAACCCTAGATTCACATCCCTTATTGCCAAACGCGGAGGTCTGCAATGCGCATGACGAACCAACCGAGAAAAAAATGGCGAGAGCGGGAGGATGGTATCTCCTTCATGGGGAGGAATGAAGGATGTTCGGTCAAACTCCATCTTGCGACTGTTGTCTGATCCAACTGCGAAAACCGCTTCCTAGTACGCACACACACGCACTCTCGGGGTATCCTTTATCACAAATAAATATCCTGTCCCATTCGCGCTGATTTTCACCACTGAAGCTCCCTCAGAAGACGAACGCGGCATTATCCAGGACCACACTGGATACCTCCGCCAGCTCTAGCAAACTGCGTCCGCCGATTCCCACTCCACCGCCGCCGTCCAGCGCTGTCTCCTCACAACAGCGCCATCACCCAAGTAGCCGAACTCGGCAGTTCGGTATTCGTTGCGTTTAGCGTGTGCACGCTGCCAAACCCCGCTACGGCAGTCCCGAGTCTCTCGGCATTCCGGGGCTTATGTAAGAGGGGCCTCGGGAAATTCTACCACGGATTGTTTGTTTGTTGAGGAGAGGACGGTGGTATTGATATGGAGATGCTTAGATGATTTGAGAGGGCCTCTTAAATGGAGAAATAAATGTGTGTCTTTCGAATTCGTCAATAAATCAAGACTTTATCTCCTCTAGCGTCCATGCCTCCCGAATGAATAGCCCCCGACTGGTATTACATTAAATGCTTTCGAGGACACCATCGAAAAAAAAGACTTTATTAGAGAAAAAGAATATGAAATGAGATGGCGCGCTAATTAGTATGGGCAGAGTGGTATATTCGCGATATCAAGGCTAAAGAGAAAGTGGATATCGATTGATGGAAAAAAGAAAAGGTGGGAAACGTATAGTTAGTGGTCTTTTGATGGCTTGGGCTTAGGATTTGGACTTATCGGCAATGAGTTCGTATGCACTGGCTTTCATACTGCGAGGTCGACTCCGAGGATATGCTGTGGTTCCCGTATGTGCCACGACACCGTATTCGGGAAGAATGCCATCATCTAGAACCTCATATTGGGCATCTGGTCGAGTCTGATGGAGAGTCTCTAAGATATCCTCGCTCCATAAACCAGTGCAGCTATTACCAACCAATTGGTAGTACGGGTTGAGGAGGCCACAGATCGAGTCCAGGTCGATATAACGAATTCTCATGAATTGTACGGCGTTCAGAGAATCTAAAGATCTCAGAGAAGCGATGATTAGATTTTCGAAAGATTTGATAAAGGTCATGTTGGTGATCCCAGAATAATCGCTGACAAAATTAAGATTGCCCTCCATTTTAACTTGCTCGCAGCAACAAGCTTTCACGACCAAGTCGATCGCTTTCAGCTTGGATCTCGTCTCGCTTTTAATCGTCGCAGCCCGTGCAGCACTGAACAAACTAGCGCAGACTTTTCCAGTAAAGGTCAGTGATTCAAGCTGTGGCACAATGTCCCCCAACAAGCGGCAAAGATGCCGGTCCGTATGAGGTTTGCTCAACCATTGTGTCTGAGAATTCTTTTTACTGCAGAAGCCTTCGAGGCTGATGCTGAGCCGGGTAATCCCTCGAGGAAAGGTGGTCAAAATCTTTGCTATCGTAGCTTGCGCCTCACGTTTCGGTTTGGCATAAGTGCAATTCCATTCGCGCAAATTTGGCAGTGCGGAAGCGATATTACTCCAATGGTCATGTTCTCGCATAATATTCCATGCACCTCTCATGATGAACGTCTGGACATTAGGCAACACCTCCAGCCGCTGCTCATGTGTCGTAACGTTGCCGAAATGCTTAATCATGGGCGGCTTCTTGCAATGACCGCCTTCAATAGTAAGCATCTTGGCGTCCGGGAAGAAACACGCAACATGGTAGAAGATTTGCTGCAAGGTGGCATTGCGATTGGCGAATCTGAAATTATGATTTGTACGACCATGCTCCATCCCGTCAGTAACGGCCTGCAGCAATGCAACAGAATCCGCAGGTTGGTGGCTTCCTCCACCCAAGAGTTCTCGACGGCCAGGTTGCAAAGCATGTGGCCTAGGTAGTCGATCACCCCAAACCGGAACCCAAATATCAATGTGACGAACGTAGGGACTGAGATGTGGATGGGAGCTGAACCAGTCGACGCTTTCTTGAAGGCCGTCGGTCGTGCCTTTGATCTGGACTACGAACTGTCAGCTTCAGGTTCCAAACGGGCAAAGGAAATGACCACTGACTATGTCGATATATCCGTTCTTGTACCAGAGGTGTCCAACTACGTGAGACTAGAGCGAGATCGGATAGGGCCTTTCGACGAGGATGGCGTAAGGTTTTACTCCAACTGGATGCGGTAGAAGACGCTGCAGTGACCGAGGCCAGAGCAGCGCCCCTCACACCAAACAAATGGTCTAAAACAGCCTCATGAATTTCCGTGGGGAGATCTTCGAACTGTAGAGGTGCACAATCCAAGTCCGACATGTCCAACTCAACTGATATAGGTTGCGAAACGAAAGAATCCGAGGGCAATTCAAACTGCTGAGATGGATGAAATGTAGGACATGTCTCTGAACGATGCATGTCAAGGGGTGGAGAGGGCGGTGGTTTGGATAGAGGATCGATGGAGATCAAGTGAGAAGGTGGGACAGCAGACAACATGATTTCAGCCTTGCTGTGAGGTTGGGCATCTATGGCAAACCCAGTCAAAAAAAAAGAGCCCAGGAGGTTCCTATGCCGTTGAGAACTTGGGAGTCGAAGGGAAAATTGCGAGATATCTAGCCCGTTTCACTTCATTATTAGCAAGTGGCCCTAGCTCTCACGATCAATTTCCTAATTTAGAATAAATTGAGAAACCCGCGTTCGGAAAAAGGGTCAACCGCAGGTCCTTGGGAAACTCACCCTTGTCTACGCTATGAAAACGAGTAGCAAATCTTAAGCAACGGATCGAATAACTCACGGAACGACGAGGCCTGCAGGTCGATGCTCGAGGGAATATTGTAACGAGGAACGGAGAGGTCACCCTAACCAGCGAAATGCGAAGAGGATAACGAGGCACGAGAGAATGATAGGAAACGAAAAGAAGACGTGGAGAGAGGCGGTAAAGTCAATGAGAGACTCCAGGCGGCTGGAGACTCCGTAAAATGAAGCGTATCAGAGAAGTGAAGGGGTTGAATGATGAAGGACGAGCACACGCGAAAGGGGTGGACAAGGAGTGATGATGCGATGATGAAGACGATTTGAAGGCTGAGAGGGGAGGCTTGGCGCTGGGCGATGCTGTCTATAGTGCCGCCCAGTAGTGTCCTTTAAGGTCGGGCGACGATTGGCTGGATTTCGGTGGGCGGTCAGTCTAGCTGCTTTGGGCTAGCGCTGGATGTGGGTCAGTAGGGCTATCCACGTGGACAACAAGTGCGCCTGATATCAGACGACAAGGGCAGAGATGATGTCTATTCTACCGTCTATTGCACATCATGCAAGCCGTTGCGCCCCGAACCAATGTCTAGTCCGTCCTCTTTGGCGGTGATAGACCCGCCTTCCCCGCCCGACTAACACAGGAGGAACATGTTCCCACATCTGACACGATGATCCCAAGGATCCACACGTTAATGGCGAAAAATGATAAGCACGACAGATATAGGCCCGGCATGAATGTCGATACCCCCAGGAACTCCAGTTTGAACCCCTGTTGAAGCCACAGGGCCTAATCCACACGGTCAGTTTGGTACTCTGCTACGTCGTGCCAAATCGGGGTTGGTGTGGCTAAACATACCTGTGCAGCAGCCCATAGTGTAGCAGCGGCAAGTCCAAGTGAA